CCACCAACGGCTATAATCAACCTAGCCCTTCCCTAAACACCCCCTACCCTCTTTTAACCCCCCATACACTAAATATTCATTATTCTCTCCTGTTTTTCTCACTATTACTAACTCTTATATATATATATATATATATCCTCTCAATTCTAAATTATAATTTTGTGTTATTGGCTAATTGGAGTTAGAAGATTTATTTGAAGCAATTTGCAAGCTTCAATTGTTATCTCTCAATTCTGGCGTTTGGTTATATATGTATGCTTTTACGGAAACGTTTATTTGTTTATTTATTATATTTTTTTTGTTATATTTATCTTGTTTGTTTTTTTATATTTTAATTATTTTAAACTTCAAAACATGGATCCCCTTAAAAAAGTAGTGGTAAAAAATCAATTTATGGAAAAAAAGGTGCCACTAGTAGGGGTGGGGGTAGAAGTAGTTCTCATTGCAACCTAGATTTAAAATTAATACCAACGATTATACTCATGTTGATGAAACTTTTTTTATTTCACGTCCCACTATTTTAGAATTTAATTCTGAATATGAAGTTGACCATGAGACCTTAAATAGATGGTTTGCTAATTTTGAGGAAGAGTTGGAGGAAGAAGTAGAAATAGAAAACCAAGACTGAGATGACACCTCTACTAGTTTGGCCACGAAATTACCGCATTAAAATGTTCTCCCTCTTTACCTATGTTTTCTAGGGGTACCGCAAAGGCCGAACTTCCTAAATGATCTTTAGCTTGACAAATTATTGAACAAAATAAGGAAAAAACTACTGCTACCTGCTTTATATGTAAGCTAAGTTGCTCGGACTCGGGTGTGGGTACTCTCGAATTCGGCAAAATCTAAATTTTAAGATTTGGGGGTGCGAATCCGAGTATGGATACGACTGTGTGGATTCGGCTAAAAATATATATTCAATATTATAAAAATATAGTTAAAATATATTCTAAATTTGAGAGATATGTTGTGATAAACTTGCATGAATTTTGTAGAATTCAATCTTCCATTCTCCAAGATGAGATTAGTCTTCCATTCTTCCTACGAAAACACAACAAAATAGCAACTAAACATTAAAAGCATATTACAATTTACAATAGAATAAATATAACTAGAAGAATAAAAAAAATTGAAAAAAATTAACCATAGAACAAGGATAGTAACTCTTGTAACAAAGTGAAAGTGAAAAAACTAGAATTATTAAGATTTAAGATATACACAAAGATATTTATCCACAATCTAGATATTCATAATTAGTAATCAATATTCAATACACCAAGTTCAAATCAACTTGTTGAGAATATAATTAAATAATAAAAGTGTGCTCTCTCTAACAGCTTAAGCTTTTAGATGAGATGGTTACACATTCAACATGGTATCAGAGCAGGCAAAGGTTCTGGGATCGAATCTCATTGCCACCCAAATTAAAAAGAATTTCCACATGCTTGGCCCATGAAATCTAATTTAGGCCCGCACGTGAGGGGGCATGTTGAGAATATAATTAAATAATAGAAGTGTGCTCTCTCTGGACTTTTGTCATTCTTTAACACTACTATTTAACAAAAAACAAGAGATTGTCTCAACTTAACTCATAACTCATAACTAACATAACAACACAATATTGCCAATTGTCATGTTATTTAATTAAGTCCGCTACTATTCCGCATCTTCTTCAACTTCTTCCTAATCTTCAAACTCTTCCTCAAATATCATACCTTCAATTTGAGGTTCATCTATTGATAACTCAGTTAGATCATTAGTTGTCTCATCAATATCAAATCAATCTCCTCCTATAACAAATTAAAAAGAATAAATATATTAGAAGATTTTATATAAAGAGAAAAAAGCGTCATGCAAAATAAATAATTGACGAAAATAATAAAGAAAATATAGACATACCAACATCCCAATATTTGCTTGGTCTATTTATATATTTTTCTTTCTTGCAAGACAACAACTGGACATTATAATGTACAAACACTTAATCTTCGGCTCTTGAAGTTGCTAACTTATTTCTCTTGATATTGTGAATCAAAGAATATGTACTCCAATTTCTTTCACAAACAAGAGGAAGAAGCAGTTGAGTAAGCAACTTGTAAGCTAATTGTTGCAAAAGTTGAGCTGAGATGCCATGATTTGCCCACCAAGAAAGAGAATCTTCATACATCATAGCCTCAATCACACGAGGCTCACTAAAATAACCACTTCCGCTACAAAATGATCCATACTCCGATGAGAGTTGTTCAATTTCATTAAAATCTTTAAAGTACATTTGAAAGCACTTGACTCTATTCAATGAAATTTCTTTATTTTCATTAGGAGCTAGCCTTCGAATCCATTCTCTCCTTGCAGCCATGATTCGTGATAATAATTGGAAACCAACGAATGTGCCATACAATGTAAGAGGTGTGTTGCTTTTGTTCCACCTAGCCACAAGAATATCATGAATAGTATCGAAAAAAATTGATTGATCGGAAATGAGATCTTTCCCCTCATGCTCAAAGATTACTTTCTTGACCTTCTCAATCATTGAGTCCCACATATCATAAATGAGATGTAATTTTGGACCATCAATATCGGCACTTCTTAGCATATCAACAATTGGTTCCGTAAATTCCAAGTAGTAGTCAATACTATCCCATTTCTCATCATTCATTATAAAAGATTTTATTCACGAGTTTTGGTTTCAATTCCCTTATCCCCCTTATAATTCTTCCATTCATCATCCATGACCATTTTCTCCAAAGACGATTTCACTTTGCGAATCCGGATGGTCATAATAATGTGTGAGGCAAATCTTGTTTCACCAACTTTCAATAAGCACAAATCCGAATGTTTTTGAAAAAGTGCATGTGCCAAGGCATGATTCACAACAAAGTTCATCAAATTACTCCACTAAGTAACTCTAAAATCCATTTGTAATTAATAAAGTGAGGTGATTTTTCCGAAGGTTGACACATACTTTTCAAAGCTAGATTCAAACAATGAACAACACAAGGAGTTCAAAATATATGCGAATTTTTTTTTTTCCATAATAGAACCGGCAAGTTTCATATTACTTGCATTATCCGTAATAACTTGAACAACATTATTTGAACCTTCATTTTCGATTGCTTCAATAAACAAGTTAGCAATATATTCTCCATCTTTTACGATTCCACTAAAATTGATTGAATTTAAAAACATTGGACCTCCACTAGATGATGCCATTATATTGATCAAAGGTCGTCTTTTAGTGTTAGACCATCCATCCGAACAAATCGTCAATTCTTTCTTTTTCCATCTATCTTTAATTGGTTGTAACTTTCTATCAATGTGCGTCTTTTCTTGAGCTAAAAGAGTTGTTCTCAACCTATTATATGATGGGGGATATAACCGGAATGGAATTTTCAGCTAGAAACTTTGAATATTTTTTAAAATAGGGAGAGTTTGCAAAGTTGAACGATAAACCTGATGCGTAGAACATTCTAGCGGCTAATTTGTCGGCCGTATTTCTCTCATAGATGCCGAAGGATTTCCCTAAAGCTCCATTCTCTGAACTTTTTTTTTGTTGAAGTAAATCAGTCCCCTCCAGAGTGATACATAATCAACTTTTTTTCTTGCATCAACTTGAATAGATGCTCTTTTTCTTTTGGCTTGTTCATGCTCCATCTTCAAAGCCACAAATATATCACCACTAATTTCTTTACATATTTGAACTCCATGGCTGGATAATCTTAAGAGGTGTGCTTTCACTCTATTATATGATCCTGTAACTATTTTATCGCAATAGTTACATGACCATATTCTATTACCACCCC